CATCTGGGCCACCCTAGCACCACCCTAACAAACACACACACACACACACACACTAACACACACACCACTCGACTGTTATCGGCAACTGTGCGAGATTTCATAAATTTCACTGGCCAAACCAAATTAAAAAGAAAAATCGGCCACACCGCCAAAGCTAACAAAAGTTGAATCGTTAAAAGGCAAAAAAAAAAAGAAAAAAAACAAAGGAAAAAAACCAGGAAAAAGCCAGGAAAATTTGTGGCTAACTTTGAACGAAAAACATTCAAAATTACAACCGAAAAATAAAGGAAAAAGTGTGACAGAGGAGGCAAGATGTGAAGGAGAGAAAACACACAAAAGTGGGCCAACAGCAGGTTGGTCAAAACGGAAATACTAGGCTGGCCTAAGGTATTCCTGGGTTAAGATCTTGTTCTATATAAGTTTTAACTAAGACTTTCTGGGGTTAAGATATAATAATATATGCTTTTTTGGAGGCTTTCATGGGTTAAAATATGGGAAAATATATTTTATCAAAGGCTTTCTTGGGTTAAATTTTTAAATTCTATGTCTGATCTAAGGCTTTCATGGGTTAAGATCTAATAAGGCTTTCATTGGGTTAATATCTAATAAAATTTGTCTTGTCTAAGGCTTTCTTGGGTTAAAGTCTAGTATTATATGTTCAATCTAAGGCTTTCTTGGGTTAAGATCTAATAATATATATATTTTTCCTTAAGCTTTCTTGGGTTAAAACTTAATAAAATATCTAATCTAATAATATTTTTTTCTAAGGCTTTAATGGGTTAAGATCTAATAATACATATCTTAGCAAAGGCTTTCTTGGGCTAAAATCTAATAATGTTTCAAAAGATTTCATGGGTTAAGATCTATCTTAAGCTTTCTTGGGTTAAGTTCTAATTATAAAATATTAATCTAAGGCTTCCTTGGGTTAAGATCTTGTAGTATATGTCTTATCTAAGGCTTTTTTGGATTAAGATCGAGTAAAATTGGTTTTATCTAAGGCTTTCTTGGGTTAAGATCTAAAAATATATGTTTTTCCTTCGGCTTTCTTGGGTTAAGACATAATAAAATATCTAATATAATAATAATAAAATAATAATAATATTTTTTATAAATATATTTTTCTAAGGCTTTAATGGGTTAAGATATACTAATACTTTGTTGGGCTGAAATCTAATAATGTATTAAAAGCTTTAATGGGTTAAGATCTATCTAAAGCTTTCTTGGTTTAAGTTCTAATAATATAATATTAATCTAAGGCTTCCTTGGGTTAAGGTCTAGTAAATAAGTTTAATCTAAGGTTTTTAAGGATTAAGATAGATTAAAATATGTTTTATCTAAGGTTTTTGTGGGTTAAGAGTAGAGGTTTTATCTAAGGCTTTCTTGGGTTAAGATCTAGAAATATATGTTTAAGTTAAGGCTTGCATGGGTTAAGATAAAATAATATATATTTTATCCTCCAAATTAATTACTAAGTTTGGCTCTCTTAAGCATTAAAAGTATTTTAAAGTAACTAAAACATAGATTTTATTTTAAAAATATTAAATTTCTTAAAAAATTTTTTCAACTAATCTTATTACAAACTTAAAAATTTCAAAAACTTTAATCAGTTTCCAGGTAATTTATGCCCAAAAAAGTATAAAAAATTGTAATTAATTGGCTTTAAAAATCAACAATCTTTTGCCAAAAAAATCTTTAAAAATACAAATTTAAATTACTAAAAAATATATAAAACATACTTTTTAAGCTAAACTAAACTTAAGACTTTTCTAATTTAAAATAAAATTCCAAAAGCCAATTTAAAGCCCCAAAAAAGGTGTCCTAGAAACCTCTCCTACTTAGGCCTGTTACTGAGACTCATCAAGTCACGACCTTTCCTCTCCGCCAAAGCCATTGCCCAGGTTAATAATTCTTTTCACTTTTACAGCTCAGGTTAAATTGTATTTTACAAATATATATATATATCAGATATATATATATATCAGATATTTATATATCAGATATTTATATACATTTTGGTTTTGTTTTTTTTTTTCCAAAGGAAAATGTTAATAATTGGCTCGCCTGTTCAAGGCAGAAGGACCTTACAATAAATTGCTGGGGAGGATATTATCGTTTCTGCCATCGCCGCGTCCTTGTCCGTTGTTCGTCCCACTACCATCCACTACCACCCACTGCTTTCGAACTCGAAATTGATTACAGTTCATTTCATTTTGGCTTTGTTTATTTCCTTGCTGCCCTCTTTGCCTTGCCACAGGATCAGGGCCAGCCGTGTAGCAGCACTGATATGGCCAGCGGTTTTTCCATTTCAATATTTATTTGTGAGTTATTATTATTATTATTGCCGCCGCGCGGCCCCACTCGGTTCGAAGCTTTTCCCCCAAATATTACTTTCGCGCTTTTTTTCCGCTCTTACTTTTCACAAATTTCCATTTCTGCTGACTTTTATTTTGATTTTTCTTTTGGTAAGGGGGGGTTGAAATTACATGGTAAAAATGCTTCTGGGCTTGGGCTTTCACTCGGCTGCCGCGCTGTCCCACTCAATGTTAAGGTTTTTAGTTTTGGTAAGGAAAACTCATTTTGGATTGTAATTTTCGGAAAAACCTTTAAGAACATAAAGGTTTGAACTAATACCCTTTTATTTTCCAGTTTTTTAAACTAAGTTACCTTTGGGTTGGTCTATGAAAATGGGAATTTGATTAGAAAGCCTTTTAAGATTGTTTATTTTTCTGGCTTTTTTAAAGAGTCAAAAACTATGCTTGGTGAAGCTTTGCAATAAACACAGATTTTCATGGTTAAATTATTATTTCCAAAAATTAAACTTATTTTTCTCAACTTTCTAGATATTTAATAAGTTTTCCTTTTTGTTTTTAAGCTAAAAAAAACTAGTTAAAAAATATTTTCCTTAATTACCTTAAAACTTCATTAAAGTTCTTTCCTGAAAGCTTCTGCCTTTTCCCCATTAAAACCTTAAAACTTTAAACCTTCAAACCTTAACCCCTTTAAAATCACTCTTAAATCACCCCTTAAATCCCCTTACAACATTGTTATGCTAATTTATTTTATGTTTAGTTTGCAATTTAATCGAACTATCCTATCAAAATTACAACAACAAAAACACAGAAATTATATTTTATGAGTCTTTCTTTTCCATGTATTTGTTTGATTGGGCGGATTGGGCGCTTTGGGGGGTTGGCGCTTTTCCAATAGGAAATTTTGGCCCAAATTTAATGGGAGTTTGCTGTTGTTTGTTACACACACACACCCCCTCTCTCTCCCCCTTTCAGCCTTAACCCCTAACACCCCCAGCAGATAAATGCGCATTAAACTGAATAAGCAGCAGCAGCAGCGGCAGCGATAATTGCATAAGTTTGATTAGTTAGTTCGAGTTTCGATTTAATAATGCAAAACCCGATCAGCCCTGACGGCTGACGGCGGGCCACCCCCAATTAAGGCAGCATAAATATTTAATATTCCATAACATATAGAAGTAAGGGGGAGGTATGGAAGGGGTAGTAATGTGATACCATCTAAATGAAGTTAATAAGCGAAGCGTTAATAAACACAGATAGGAGAGGGGCTGGCTGTGGGGGTCTATAAATACACCTAAGATGAGGCTTCTTCAAGGACTTAATTTTCAAACATTAAGTTGGGTTTTCTTATCTTAAATAAACAGCCTTAAAAAATCAGATTTAATTTGCTTTTTATAAAGAAAAATAGTTAATAATTCTAAGCAAAGGATTTGCCATTTGAAAATTCAATTTAAAGAGGGAAAAAAAAACATTTCATAAGCTAAAAAACAGAAAAAGTTAACAAAGCGAAAAAAGTTTACTTTTTTAGTTTTTTAAGCTGAAAATGAGTTTGCCTTTTTAGCTTGTTTTTTGAAAGATTTTTTTTGAAATTAAATTAGCAAAAAATGCTATTAAAAAAGTTAAATAAATGTACTTAATTATATGTAAAAAAAAGTTTATAATTTTCCTTATTAAAAATCACAATTTATAAAGCTAAAAACTAAGCCCTAAGCTGTTAGCTTTTTCTTGATTCTTTTCAACTTTTTCCAAATAACTTTCTTAGACTTTCTTTTCTAAATAATATTAAACTTAACAAGAGGAATTTCCCTTTACTTTTCTCTAATAAAAATCAAACCCAAAACTCTTCTTTCCAACTTAGTAAACTTAGTAAATAAAACTAAAAACCTCTTCCCAGCTTAATTGTCACCTTAAAAAGCCTTCGCCTTGAACCCAAAACCAAGTCGATTCGTTTTAACGCTTTTCCAGGAATTAAATCTCAAGTTGGAAGAAAAACAAGAAATAAAAAGAAGATGGTTAAGCATCTTGACTCTTGTTACTGAACCAACTTGCTTGCCATCTAGTCACCTTGCCACCTTGCCACTTGGCTTGCCGAAAAGTACAGTTGCCATTTGGAAATTTATGCGACTCAGCGGCTCATTTAACACCGAAGACGATTTAATCCCGCCCCCCGCCGTCGCCGTCCTTCAGCTTTTCTTACTTTCAACATTAGCAGCCAGACACTCCCCCCACTCCCTGTGTTGCCCTGCTGATTAGTAGTAGATTGGTGTTGTAATTAATAGATGGCTACACCCCCGCTTACACCAGCCAACCCATCGCATTAGAGGGTTGCCTGGCAGCTGTATATATCCGATATATATATATATATATTCCTTAGAAATCTGTCATAAATGGTAGAACAGCAAGAACAAGGCCAAGAAAATGCAAATCACAATGAGCCTTTTTCTTATTTTCTTTCTTTCTTTTGGGGCCAACTTTGGGGGGTTTTCCTTGCCGTTTCTTAACGTTATTCTTGTTGAGGCCACAAATATGCGCATAATTAATTTGCCGGCTGCTTTTTTCGGGATTTGTTGAGTAGATTAAATGGCATTTTGTCAAAGTGTATTCTGTATTTTAATTAACCACCCCCCAACCCCCCAATGCCAGCCCGTTTTCTCGCCATTCAGCTTTTGAATACTTAAGTTGTTTTCTTACCAATCGCAGTGGCGGGTCCAAGTGGTGTCCAATCTCTGTGGAATCTCCTGAAGTGATGAACTCCTGAACTCCTGAACTCCTGAACTCCTGAACTCCTGAACTCCTGAACTCCACTCGTAAGTACGTAATGCCAAAGTGTTCTTCGGTCTGTCTGCAATGTTAGAAACGAAAGAGAAAAGTCAGAAAATGTCACTCGTCGATATGATCATGAAAAATGTAAGCAGATTTGACAGCCATTTGCCACGAAGTGATGTCCTGACAAGCTAAGGCTATCCCCTTCTCTACCAGCTCTTCCAGAATTCCAGACTTCAGCCTGACTAAAACCAAAGACCAGCCATGAAGGACCACTGACAGGCTCTAACTCTGCAAAAAGAAGGACACGACAGAAAGCTGCTCACGTCACTTACAAAGCTCAAGTCTAGGATTTTTATGCAGTCAGCTAGCCAGCCTGAATTTTCCCCTGCTGAATTTTCCATTTTCCCCACATTTATGTTTGCATTGCACTCCCTCTCATTCTCTCCCTCTCTTCCTCACATGCTTATTAAATATTTTTTGTATTCGTTTCAGGCCTTTGGCAGCCATAAATTAAGCCAGTTCTGGCTGAAAAATGAAAACATTTCAATACCAATGTCAATGGAGGCCAACAGGCAGCCCACAAACAGGTTAAATTAATTGGGCATGGCCTTAAATATGATCTCTATATAGTAGATATAGTATAAGTATCTATAAATTCCGCTAACTAACAAAGTTGGTTGGTGTTTTAGCCCAGAAAATGCCCATCTAAAGAGGCTTAAAAGGTTTATCATTACCTTAACTGCTTAAAAACTAAATATAAACCTCATATGATCTTAACTATTACTAATTAAGGATTTGACTAAGAACTAACAAACATTTTCAAGAGCTTTCCTTCTATACTTTTTGACCAAATAACTCTTATCTGCCTCTGCCTCAGCGGAAAAAGCTGGCTAATAAGTCGGATCTGCTAGCAATCATTTTCCCCGCTGGAAGACTCTTTTTGTTTCGGATCCGGGCTAGTGCCTAATTGAAATGTAATCCTTCTGCCATGGACACGCCGAGCGAATTCAAAAACTTCCTTCCATTGAATTAAGCCCCTGGTTGCTACACTGAGAGAAATTGCAAGGGAAAGGGTTAAAAACAAAAATAAAATGACAATTTTTTGAGAAGTTTTTTTCAACTTTTTAACAGAAATTCCCAAAAAACAACAGGCTTTCCCCCTAACGTTCTAGCTAAACAAATTTCCTTCAATTTCCTTTCAAATTTCCCCTCAAATTTCCCTCAGTGAAAGCCAAACCTTCCTCCCTCCCCCTTGACTGCACACAAACACATACAAAATGGTTGCATTTTTGAGTTGGTAATCCGCGCCAAAACAGCGCCAGCAACGCAGCCAAAAAAAAAAGAAAAAAAAGGAAAATATTAATTGGAAACAAGAGGCTTTTTCACCCTTTCGGATTGTTACGCTTTTTCTGCGGAAAATCCACTCGAAAATGGTGCTTTACCTCTCTCTGTGTGCCAGAACTTGTTATTTTTCAGCTACTAATTATAAACAAAAAATTGTTAACCAAAATAGAAATAATATTTGCTTTTCTTTGCGTTTTTTTTTCAGGGTTCTTAAGCCAAAGTGGAAGGCTAAGGGCTTTGGAGTAGCTTTTTTGGTCAATGTTAAAGGTGATTTTGAGGGTTTTAAGTGGGTTATTAATCAGGGTAGGAACTAAAAAGATAAAAAATAAATATTAAATAGGTTAAGAGATTCAAAAAATTATAGTTTAGGCCATAGTTAAGGTCTTAAAATGAAGTTTCTGGGAGTTTAGTCAAGTTAAAAACCATTTTTTGATGTATTTTAAACATAATTTTTTAATTTTTTTTTAATTTTTTCTTTTCTAGCACTAAAAAAACAACTTAAAACCCCTTTTCTCTAAGTGCATAAACCTATACCATCATATTCCCCCCCATCAAAGCCTCTAATGTTAGCTCATTAAGTCAGCTTCTATCGAATACAGCGCCATCTATTGTTCGCAATTTGTTGAAAGAATAATTTTCGGGAAAAAGAAAAGGATTTCGAAAGCAGCCAAACTTTGGCTCTATATCATGTGGCTGTCTAAAAAAAAAAACAAAAACAACAACTAGGATATCGAAGAGATGCCACACCACCTCCCCCCCTCTCCACCTTCCAAACGCCAGCCTCCCTCACCGTAGTATTGCTCTGTGAAGAAGCAACAGCAATATGAGAGCCGCCTCGACGTGCGAATTTCGCGTAAATAAATTTAATATCTGACGCAATCTGCCACGAAAAACAAAAGCCCAAGAGCCAAAAAAAAAAGAAAGGAAAAAAAAGAGGGAGCAAGCAAAAAATAAGTGAGAAAAACCTACAAAATTTCAGCGCCATCGCCATTGCCCTGGCTGTTGTTGCGTTGTTTTTCCTGAATTTTCTCGGCCCCACCAACGGCGAGCGATAAAGAGAAGGCAACGTAAAACGTAAACGAATTTGTAACTCGATGATGTCGGCATCGCAGCTCACTTTGTGACGCTCCAATGTTCCAATTTCATTATGCAAAAATCCGACTAAAGGCAGCAGCAACACCCAGCGAACAGCCAACAGGCAACAGACAAAGCAACAAAGCAGCAAGCTACATGCAACATGCAACATCTAACATCTAACATTCAATCCAAAACTCTAGGACAAACTAGAAAGCTTGGCAAAAAATGATTAAACAAAACATAGGAAACGGCATCGGAAAATATACACGGCGGCGGCGACCGGATGCTTATGCATTGCAGATTTCCATTTCGTAAATAAACATGAATTTCCACAGGGCGGAGAGGAGAGGAGAGGAGGGGAGGTTGTGGAAAATGGGATGATATGTAGGAAAAATATTTCCATGACTAGTCCCTAGTTGGTTTAATTGGTACAAATTGGATAACTATAAAGGGCTTTTGTGGGGTTTGAATGACACTAAAAAGTAGGATTTTCCTTCTATTAGGTTGGGAAATCAGATTGGAAAAGTGCTCTCTGCTGATTTTGGAAACTAAATTAAACATTTTCTTGATTTCAAGGCTAAAGTTAGTTCATAATCTAAGACTAACTAAGAGTTACTAGCCTTAAAAGTAGAAATTCTAGAAGTTCTCGGACTTAAATGTGAAAGTTTTTTCAGTTTCGAAGACTTCTTAACATTATCTCCTCAATCCTTATCCTGAAAGTTATCCTGAAAGGGCTTTCGTGGGGATTTAATGGCTCTAAAAAGTAGGATTTTCCTTCTGTTAGGTTGGGAAATCAGATTGGAAAAGTGCTCTCTACTGATTTTGGAAACTAAATTAAACATTTTCTTGATTTCAAAGCTAAAGTTAGTTCATAATCTAAGACTAACTAAGAGTTACTAGCCTTAAAAGTAGAAATTCGAGAAGTTTTGGCGAAAGTTTTCTCAGTTTCCAAGACTTCTAAACATTATCTCCTCAATCCTTATCCTTTAAGTTAAAAATCTCTCCAAATTAAGCTCTAGGAAAATCTCTAAATCATTTTTCTCTTTGAGTATCTAACTTAAGACTAAAAACCTAACCCTCAAAAGCTCTCCAAAAACCAAGAAACAGAAATCCAGCTTGCTTTTTCCTTCTTTAATGTTTTGAAATTTTTGAAAAATTCCTCTTTGCTCGTCGTCGTTGTCATTGGTCCCTGTCCTCTCCCTCGTATAACATTTTTTATTGCCTTTATTTTTATATATTTTTTTAGCTGTCCAGACTTTGGCCATCTCATTCCCAGCCCATTCCCCAGGCCATTCCCTATACCCACACCATTCCCACTGCCCAATCCAAGCCCATTCCTGGCCAGCGGCTGTTCCTTCTTTTTTGACTTCTCATTTTCTCATCGAAATGTTGAATTTTTATGACACTTTTGCGTTGCGTTCTGTGTTCTGCGTTCTGCGCCTGCCTTTGCTGCAAATATGCAAATTTCCTGTCGCCCCCCTTTTTTTTTGGTATGCCACGCCTACATTCTATATTCTACCAGGCCAGCTCGCCTACCAAATAAATTTATATGAAAATGTTCGTGTTTAAGTTGTTGTTTTAAGCGGCTGGCAAAACACTGAGAAAAATATCTTTTTAAAGGTTTTTTTTGAAATCAAAAAAGTTTAAGAAATTTTTACAAATTTTTTTGGAATTAATTTTTGATTTTAAAATTGATTTTTTTTTACTAATTAAAGTTATATTTTAGCTTTTCTTTTAAGTGCAGAAAAGTAGGCGTACAGTAGGCGTGGCTGTGGGAATATTTATGCATTTGGCCGGCGGGGCAGTTTAAGAACTCAACTGATGAGCCTGGCTGGGTGGCTGACTGGGTGGGTGCTGGCAACTCTACAGCTAATGGCCGGCCAAAGGAAATTTACTTTTCCCTCCCCCCCCTCCTTCTTTTTTAAACATTTTTCAAAGAGACGCCTCTCCTTGGTTCGACGCTTCGACTTTTTCGGTTGACTCAAAACTTGAGTCAAAGATAAAAGTCATAAAGTTTGTCGCCGCAGAATAAGTTGCCTCTTCGTGCGTTGGCAATCAGCCCTCTGTCTGAGCTACAGTTGCTGCTGCTACACTGGGAAAAAATAGGTTGTGAGTTTAAAAGTTATTGCTTTTTTTTCATATTTTTTTCAGTGTTTTAAGTTTTTGAGACTTTTAAATGATGGAAATGCAAATAAAGACTTTAAAAAGGCAAAAAATCAACTTTGAGCTTAAAAGTGATTTATTTTTTAAGAACTTCCTCAGTTTTTAAGCTATTTTTTTTAAAGAAAAATTTGTTTAAACTTAAAATTTAGTAAGAAAGATCATATTTTAAGCAATTTTGGTAACCAACCTCAAAGAAAATCAAAGAAAAATCTCTCTTCTGCCACATTTTATCCCAAAAAAAAAAGCTACCAACCAGAGGAAACTCTATAGTCGAGTGCCGCGACTATAAGATACCCGTTACTTGCTAGGGGAAATTACCCAAGCGCCACCTATTGTCGGAGAAAGCATGTCGAATAACTGATAGTGACGTCACTGCCCATGTGAGGCCTTTTAACCTAAATTTCTTCATAAAAGGGGAAATAATGTTCCGATTTGAAAAAATCTTTGGTAAATCGATAGATATTAACAGAGATAAGTTATAGAAGGTCAAACGAAGGCATTCATAATATTATTATAGACGCCACAGTGTTCTGCGGTTTGTGGGCGTTAAAGTGGGCGTGGCAGGATGCTAAAATAACTTGCGCTATCCCGGGACCTCAAGAATCTTCATGCTTAATCTTTGTATCTGTTATAGTTTCTGAGATCTCAGCGTTCATACGGACGGACGGACAGACGGACGGACAGACAGACATGGCTCCATCGACTTCGCTATTGATCCTGATCAAGAATATATATACTTTATAGGGTCGGAAACGCTTCCTTCTCTCTGTTACATACTTTTCAACGAATCTAGTATAAACTTTTACTCTACGAAAAACGGGTATAACAAGCAGATTTCCTTGGAAAAATCCCCAAACTTGAGGTAATATTTTCCATCTCTTACTTTACATTTCCAACTATTAACCTTCTTATAAAAAAACAAGAGGAAACGCTATAGTCGAGTGCCGCGACCATAAGATACCCGTTACTGTTTTACAAAATTTTAGATTATTTTGCTAGTGGAAATTCACAAGGCGCCACCTATTGTCAGAGGAAGTATGTTGAGTATGCTTATAGTGACGTCACTGCCCATGTGAGGCCTTATAACTTAATTTCTTTATAAACAGCGAAAAAATGTTCCGATTTGAAAAATCTTTGGTAAATCGATAGATATTAACAGAAATAAGTTATACAAGGTCAAACGAAGGCATTCATAATAATATTATAGACGCCACAGTTTTCCGCGGTTTGTGGGCGTTAGAGTGGGCGTGGCTGTGTGCAATTTCGTGGCAAGTTGCAGAGGCATCTCCTTAATACGTGTTGCTAAGCAAAATTGTATAGATCTTAAAGTTTTTGAGATTTTTGCATTTTTGGTTTTTCGGGTTTTGTGGGCGTTATAGTGGGCGTGGCTTGATCGGGAAAAAACAATTCGCATTGGGAGCATAATAGAAACCTACATGCTTAATCCGAACTTTCTATCTCTTATAGTTACCGAGATATCAGCTTTTCTAGAAAATCCGAAAACCGTCTTTTGAGCCTTGTGGGCGTATGGGTGGGTGTGGCCGGATAGTAGTACCACTATAAGATGCGCTGCCATTTAAAGATTATACTTTTTGAATTTCAACTTTCTAACTGCAATAGTTCCTGAGATTTCAGCAATTTTAGTTTTTGGCGATTTGTGGGCGTTAGAGTGGGCGTGGCAGGATGCTGTAATAAACTTGCGCTGTCCCGGGACCTCAAGAATCTTCATGCTTAATCTCAACTTTGTATCTGTTATAGTTCCTGAGATCTCAGCGTTCATACGGACGGACGGACGGACGGACGGACGGACGGACGGACGGACGGACGGACGGACGGACAGACGGACATGGCTCAATCGACTTCGCTATTGATCCTGATCAAGAATATATATAATTTATTGGGTCGCAAAAGCTTCCTTCTATCTGTTACATACTTTTCAACGAATCTAGTATACCCTTTTACTCTACGAGTAACGGGTATAAAAACACCCATCGATTTCCCCCACTTAACAACTCCAGCCTTGCTTTGATCACAAACTAATATCTTACAGGGGCATGCCACACGTGTCTAGAGCTCACCTTTCGTTGCAAGACTTCTTTCTGCTGGCCATCATTTTAACATTAAGCAATTTCAATTTTCCATTTAGTATGTTAGAGGGAAGAGGAAAATTCGAATGTGAGACAAAGAAAAGCCGACGACAAAGCCGAGAGAACTTTAATTAAATAGCCATTTCCGTTGCGGCATCCGATCTGTGGCACAGAGTGTGTGTGTTTGTGTGTGTTTGCTTGTGTATTAGTCACTCTTTGATCTGTCAAATGACAAAGCACGCAAAAACAAAAGTGGAAAAGCCACAGGAAAACTCATTGACTTGACCATGTGATAGGTAAGGGGTAGGAGGTAGGAGGTAGCAGGAGGCATGTGGCAAGAAGGCATTGATATCGAGATGATTTTCCATAGAAAGAAGGGACCGTCACCGATAACGTATGCATCTCTCGCACAAACACACACACACACTCTGACTAGATATATGATGGGGCAAACTTTTCCTTTGCCTTTGCTTTTTGTCGTTTGCCGCTCGCAGGCAAATGGTAAAAGTTTGATGCCCCAACTGCCTGCCCCTGCCTCTGCCTCTATCTCTATCTCTAGTTCTAGCTCTACTTTCCACATGCGTGGCATTTGAAATGCTAATGGCAGATGAGCTTAAGCTAGGAGTTGGTAGCTGGGTAGCTGGGTGGCGGGATAGCTGGATAGCTGGGAAATCCTCAACCAAAGTCAGTTAGACAGAAAGAGAGAGAGGGGAGAGACTGAGACTGAGAGAGGAACTCGGACTGGAGGCCTCATAATTGAATGTTTGGCCACTGCAGAAGGAGGAGAAAGAAGAAGGAGGAGGAGGAGGTGGAGCAGAGGCAGGAGCAGCGGTAGATGTATGCCAAAAAGGGGCCCAAAGGTCAGGCGGGTGCAAAGGATCCAAAAGAGGCCACCAAACAAGGGACCAAGGAAAAACTGTTGGCTAACTAATTTAAATATCATGAATTTAACATATAAAAATGGCAAGTGGCAGGCAGCAAGCAGCAAGTGGCAACTGCGAGGAACGGCAGAGACAAAAGACTGGCCCCATATCTCCATATATCATATCAGAACGATCTGCTGGCTGGTCGACCCCTTTTGTTGCAACATTTTACTTTCTGCTTGCTGGCTGTTTCTGCTGCTGTTTGCTGTTTGCTGTTTGCTGTTTGTTGTTGCCACAGAAAAAGAAAAACCAAAACAACGACAGCAGTTGGAAAATAAATGTGAATTTCTGGTCGAAATCTGCATAAGCAAATAGTGTGTGTTCTTAGGGGATGGCACAGCCAAGCCACCCAACCACCCCCCTACAACCCATATCTATCCATCCCTCCATTGTACGTGCCTCTTCGAAGGGGGTCGAAGGGGCTCGAAGGGGAAAAACTTTCAATGGACTCCCAGGCTGGCTGGCCTTTTAATCAAAAGCAACTCCCCAAAGCTTTGCTTTGACTCCCCCTCATTCCCCCCCCTTCTCTAAAAAATCAAATCAAAATTTGCCAAAAAATGCAAAAAAAGAAAAACTTTTTTTTTTATCCAAAAAAAGAGAGAGAGACAGAGAGAGAGAGAGAGAGAGAGATAGCCAGCGACATTAAAGAACAAATAAATAATTTTGACCTTAGGTTTTCCTTTTTCGTATTTGTAATAAATTTAAAAGCCCCTAACCAAGCACCCATCCACCCACTTACTGCCCCTTTTACCACCCCCTTACCGCCCCCTTACCACCCACTTTGAACTTCCGATTAACCCACCCGCTGTCAGTCTGCTTTTTTTAATTTTATTTTCGTCGTTCGCTCTACTTTTAGTCCCCAGCTAAGCCGGAAGGGATCAAACGGTTTTCTCTGCCCAGCAAAACAAAAAAAGAAAAACCAAAAAAAAAAGGAAAAAAACCAAAAAAAAAAAAGGAAAAACCAACAAAAAAAAAACAGGAAAAACCAGAAAAAAAGAAGAAAAACTGAAAACTGAAGAAATAACATTTCGACAGCTGGCCCACTGGAAAAACCAAAAAGGAGACGGGGGGACTGCCTTTGGGTCAATGAGCATCAGAGGTTGACTGCATAATTTATGAACATAAATGGGCGTGACAAGGGATTAGGTGGGAGGGGGCGGGGAGAGAGAGAGGCAGGGTCAACTAATGACCTGGCGCACTGCTAAATGCATGGAAATTGTCTGTCTGGGCCAGAGTTAGAGAGAGAGAGAGAGAGAGAGAGAAATTACAATTAATTGGAAATATGGCTAAGCCGAGAATTAGCTCAGGGGGGTAGGGGGTGGTAGGCAATGTCCCTCTCACTTTATCAGCCTGCTAAGTCTTCTTGAAGGCAATTGAAAAGCGGGAAAAGAATAATTATGAAAGCCACCCCCCTCCCCCATGCCTTTGACATCAAGATTAAGACTTTAGACCAGCTAAAAGCTGAGGAGAAAAGCTGAAAAGTCAAGGAAAAGTCATTTGTTTTAAGGAACTTTTCACCTCCTAAACTTAGCTTAGAAAAGTCAGGAAAAAATACCTCATCACATAGCCTAAGGAAAAGCCTTCGAAACTTTAGGCCTGGCTAACCCCAAACCTAACTAACATTCCAAACGTTGATCGTAAAGACTTCACACCTACACACAGACTTCCCCTTTTTGGCTTTTAAATTTTTCCTTAAAAAAAAAAGGAAAAATTTTCAAAAAGAAATCCGTAAAAAAAAATCAGATTCAAAATTCCCACAAAATGACCTCCTCTTGGGTGCTTCTCATCGTTACCATCCTGCACTTTGGAATGCGCGGCAGCTGCCTTCTGGACATCGAACGTTTCCCGGTCATTCCCGGCACCATCTATGCCGCTCACATTGCCTACTGTGCCATCTTGCACTTCCTGCACGACCTGGACATCCTTCCCATACGCTATCGTCGTCGCATGGGCTGGCTGGCTGCCTTCCTGATCGAACTGGTTTTGGGCATGGCCTTCATGGAGATTATGGGTCTATGGCTCTGGTGCAGCGTCGAGCACATCATTCACCTGACCATCCAGTTTGTTCTGCGTCATTATGCCGGTATTCCCACTGATCTCTACCAGCGCTGGGAATGGGCAATTATGGGTGGCCTGATGACCTCACTGGCTGCCTTGCTTTGGCTTAATGCCTACGAGGCGACGGAACCAGTCGAGACTAAAAGCGAGTTCATGATGAAGGACTTGAAGGCCAAGATAGCCAGTCGCCAGCAGATGAAGCGAGAGGAGAGGCAAAGGCAGCAGGAGCAGAAGGAGCAGGAACTGAAGGCAAACCAAGATCAAGATCTGGAGAAGATCAAACACCTTGCTGAGAAGAAGCGAGAGGAGAGGCAGAGGCAGCAGCAGAAGGAGGAGCAGGAGCAGCAGCTGAAGCCAAACCAAGATAAAGATCAGGACAAGATCACCCACCTTGCTGAGCAGAAAACAGAAGATGATCCCAAAGTAAAGCTACTCGATGAGCAGCATTTAGAAGTCCTAACCACAGCCACCGATTGCTAGCTATTAACCAGCTGGTCAGTTGGCCAGTTGGAATCTCAAACCCCCTGTTGGCCCCTTTGATGTCGTCGCCACTCATTCCTCATTGGACAGGCAGGCAAAGAAGCAGGACTGGGTGAAGAGGCAAAACGGGCGATCATGCCGGGAAACCAGACCAGAGGAAGCAAATGTATTTATTCCAGCCAGATGGACTCGAAAAGCTCTAAAAGACCGTGTGGCCTAAAGGATGCTGATGTTGGCTTGGGGGGCGTGGCAAAGAGGGGAGGGGGGGGCCAAAGCAATGGGCAAAATGATGGACTGCAGTAAAATGTCTATGAAAATTGACTTGGTGTTCTGGCATTGAAAGGCAGTCGGGCGGAAGGAGCTGCCAGCGCCTGGATGCGCGTCAATTGACAAATTGTCGACTGGCTGGCTGGCTTGCTGGCCCCTCTATTACTCTCCTGTTACTTCTCCTTCTCCTTCCTTTCTCTTCCTACTCCCCCCCTTTGATTCACCTCCAGGTTGAGGGGACAATCCTCTAGGCATACTTCTTCTGCCCTGGCAAGTCATCAGAACTTTTGTCTAATTTCATTTCGCTTTCACTTGTAGGCCAATCTTTGCTTTATATTATTCATACAAAATTTCTGGTAAATCGCGGCCATTGCGTATACGCACTGTGGTTCGGGGAATTATGAATTTTTAGCTCTGTATATCAGTGTGTGTGTGTGTTTGTCTCTCTCTCTGTGTGTGTGTGTGTTTGCCTAAGCAAACAATGGCCAAGCAGAGCTTTTGTTTATTCTTCCTTCACTGTTGCTTATGGCCTAAACCAACCACCCAACCACCCACACACACACAGATACATAACCACTCATACACTCAAAGCGTGACGAATTTTCAGTGCGTGCCCACCCTAACTCCCTTGACAGCCGCCCACCCACATCCACTTTCCCCTCCATTCTGATCTCTCCCCCTCCTGTGCTGTGTATTTATGGAAACATTGCTCCGAAAATATTTTAAGGACGACCAACTCGGATGAAAGAATTGCGAGGGATGCTGGCTGGGCTGGCTGGCTGGCTGGCTGACTGGGCTAATGGTCGGGCAGCAGGTTGGGGTGCAGGTGCGGGAAAACCTTTGCCAGACACTGAAATTGATGATAATACCACTATGCTGCCTCTGACGACGAATACATAAAATCTTCAACTCCCAACATGGAAAATGTGACAAGAACTGACAGAAAAGGCAGCAGAAAGATACAAACTGCTGACTGGTCGAGGATTATTGAGTGTGTCCAGAAGAGAGATGGAAAATGCCGATTGCTGATCGGAAATCAATCAAACCATCAAGTTGTTTTATCACAAAACGCAACAAAAATGTTATTATAAGAAATTCGAAGTTTAGGTTTGGCCATTAGAAGTATGTGTTGTTAGGTATTTAAGCCAACTGCCACGGCTAGCTAGCAGTTTTTACCAATTTTCCTTAACTAAAAGACTTTTCCCCTTAGCAGAGACACCCCTCAAAATTATCAAGGTAAATAGCAGCACTTTGCTGATCATTTGTTATCAAAAACCTTTTTTTTCTTTTCTATTTTCCACTGAAAACTTTTCCTTTTCCATGGAAAATTCGAATTGTTTGTTTGTGTGCCTTCCCCTCAGTTTTTGGGGAGGACAAGACTGTCCTTCAGCCCACTCGCTGGCGTAACCCAACCAGCTGATGTCGAGGACAATGACAGAGCGGAGGCTAATTAGCATCGTCAACATGGGCCACCTTAAGGTTCTTTTTCCCCATCCCTGACACCACCCCCCCCTTAGCAGGGCCCCATCTGGCCGTTGTTTTGCAACAACATAATGCACGCGTCCCACGCTGCGCAGGACAAAAATGAGTTTTGGCCTAATGATGATACAGCACCCGGGACACCCCTCCTACCTACTACCCTCAAACCACAAATCTTCTTCTTCTTGTCCTTGCCCTTGCCCTTGCCATTGCCACTATTCTGGACTTCCACCCACCCCCTCTCCTTCCCCCTCTCCCTCTCTTGACATGCAAAACGCCAACAATAAAAATGTCACTTTTGCGTGTTGCTGGGTGGTACCCAGCCATGGAGGAAATCATTTTCACCAAATCGCGCGCAAAATGTACACAGGAAAAGCAGCAGGAAGGGGGGAGGGTTAAAAAAAGAAAAACTGTTCTCTTTCTCTCTCTTATCATAAATCACGAAACCGCACTGACCACGCCCCCTTATACTAATTAATTAATTAATTAACAACAGAGTCTCATCATCATCATCATCATCATCATCATAGTCTTAACCTCATTGCGTGACAATTTCGTGAGTTTTGCATGAATTATTTGGCCAAAAGCGTATTGTCAGCACAAAAACATGGCCAACAATTAGCGAATGCCACTTGCACTTAGTTTCTTATCGGCACGCACGATGTTTAATCCACCCCCCTAGCTCTCCTCTTTGAAATTAATGTTATAGATGCACGATAGTAGTCCTTGGAAAATGCAGAATATATTTATTTTTTTTATATATTTATTTTCGCATTTCGTGCCTGGCGGCGACAAAGAATCCGGGCGGGCAGCTGTCCTACCTCCCCCACTTCCCCACTTCCCACTCCCTATTACCACCTCCCACCAAAGCCTAACGAACATGATCCCATTAAGGACACCTCGGAAATTCCGCTGGCAACATTTTAGCCGTGTTCATGCTAATGCTAATGCCTCCCCCCCTTTTTGCCAACGATATCTAGCTTATCCAGCATACAGTCAATATCATTAACACTACATTTTTGGGGGGGCCAGCTAAAAGGGAGGTTAAAGGGGGGCTGTGGGGTTAAACTAGTTAGAGGTATTGAGAAATTTTGAATTCTAAAAAGGTTTTTCTTGGATTTTAAGAAGGTTTTGGTTTTGGTTTTTAACTTTTAATTAATAAATAAAGACTTTTAGGCAGTTTTTTCTTTGTTTTTAACTAAAAATTTATCTTTTTCTTTTTTTTTTAACTTTTAATTAATAAATAAAAACTTTTAAGCAGTTTTTTCTTTGTTTTTAACTAAAAATTTATCTCTTTTGTTGATTTTTAAACTTGCTTTTGATAAGCAAACATATTTTAAGGTAGAAATAAGCTTCATTTTAAAACCTTCTTTCGGTTTTATAAGGCATTTTCATCAGATGACGAGTTTTAAGACATTTTTTGCCTATATTTTAGCTTTTTAAATCCTTAAAAAAGTTTTTTATTAATTTTAAAAATTATAACTTTCTTTCTTTTTAACTTCTTTTTATAACAATTCACATAGTTTAGACCCCAACTTAAGCCCCTCTTTCTTCTCTAACTTCTCTTCCTAATCCCTAAAGCTCCCTCTATCTCTCAAGTCTTTTTTTTCCTACAAAATAACTTCATCTCTTTCTTCCCCTTCTCCTTTACTTCTTACTCACTGCCTTAGCCTTTCCCCCTTCCCACCTTAAACTTTAGTTGACTTCTTTTTTTTTCATATTTTCTTATTTGTATTTTCCAGCTTTTCCAGCTTTCCACTTCGATTTCCCGCCTATTTAACGTTCAATGGTTTGCCCTAAGCCTGGCTGGAAAATTCTATCGGAATTCTTTATGCCTTGCATTGGGAATTTTCCTCAAACAAAAATAAAAACAAAACAAAAAAACAACAAAACTGGAATTAAACAAAAACCCCCCCCTCCCAAAAAAAAAGTCCACAAAAATTGCATTTAAACAAATTTGATTGCTCGTTTGTCAGGGTTTTTCCAGCTCTTCTGAATTTTCATCCCCTCTCTTTTTTGTTTTTTTTTGTTTTGGTTTTTTCCCAAACGAAAACCAAATATGTTGGCAAGTTTTTAAAAAATGTTTTTCATGCAATTCGCTTTTGTTTTTTTTTGTGTGTTTTCCGGCTGTCTCTCTCTCTCTCTCTCCCTTTCTCTGTGTGTGTTGATGTTTGGGCATTGTTTGGCAGCTTTATGAAAATTTTAAGTACATCAAATTTTTATGATTTTCAACAAGTGTCTGTGTGTGAGTCTCTGTGTCTGTGTGTGTGTGTTTCCCCCCCTCCTTTGGTTGGCTAGAATTCTGAATTTGATTGCCAGTCTGGCAGAGAGGGAGGCAGCCCGCTTCAGTCTTTATTACTGCCGTTAATCCGCAAAAATTTGTAACATTTTCCAATTTGGTAATCGTCTGAATGTTTTCAAAATGAGCCAGAATAATGAATATGAATGGGAGGGGGGAGGTGTGTGTAACGTTAGAGGATGAAAATTTCCAACGAATTGTAATTCAAATTTCGTCCAACCGGCGAGTATTTTACGCAGCTCTAATTGACAATGAGCCCGAGCCCGCGGTGTGTGTTTACCTTTTGAAATTATAAATTTATGGCCAGTTTTTAGTTGCAGTTTAAAGGGGATTTATATAAAGGATATATCTAAGATATATATAGAATGTAACTAGGATATATCTAGGATATATGTAGGATACCCTTCATCAAGAGTTATCAGTGTGTGGCTTCCTTTTTTCAGGTCCTGCCACCACCAGAATATCCTTCACAAAGTGGATTCTGTCCCGTCGTTAACTGTCAACGTTTCCACGTACCCGATGTAGGCTTCATTTTCACCAGTTTTTCCCCAATTTCCCAGTTGGTCAGTTGGCCGTTGTCTAGACACTCCAAAGGGGCAAAACGTGAACGTAAGCAGGCAGAAGGGGGAGCAGGGATCTGGGCCAGGCTGACTTGTCAGCTGGCACTCAAACATTGTGACATTGATTTTCATTCGACAGACTCCACACACGGGCACAGAGAGAGAGCGAGAGAGAGAGCTCACAATTTTTCGGGGGCATCTCGACTTCTTGCCACACACACACTCACACTTACAAACACACAGAACACAAGTTGAACCATTGAATTTCCCGTAGCGAGTTACTACGGCCAGATGCTACCTAATTGGAAAATTCACATTGCCTTCCTTTTTGCGAATGCGAAAAAATGCGGCAGGATGTCGCTTTTGGCTTTTCCATTTTAGTGCCCTTGCCATGACTATGGTGCTATGATGATGATGATGATATCCTTGAGCAGTTCGTTGAGCAGAGAGGTTTGAGAGGGTTTGTCTCTAACTATAACTATAAGTTAAGGGAAGGATGGGGCTAAAGGCAGGTCCCCTTTGCCCTAGAGATGAAGTTGGGAGAAAGGTTATTCATAAGAACTTTTGGTAACTGAAGGAGGAGACGTTATAAATCTCAGCAAGAGGTTTAGTTGCTCTTCAGGGGCCTGAAAATCTGTCTTAAAGATCAGCAAATTCTCAAGGAAAATCAACTATCTACAGTCAGGATCAAGTTCTATATTGATTTGATGTTAAAAAGTCAAACTGATTATAGTTTCTGGGAAGATTTTCTATCACATGTTTACGAGTTAAAGTCAAGTTCATTTTGAAACTTAGAAAAGGGTTTTTCTTTCCACATCTCCATGCTCAGGAAAAATCAGTTAATGATCAAACTATTAGGAAGAATTCTCACCCAAAAAGAAGATGATCCTCACAAGTTTAATATTTTTAAGTCCCTATATAGCTTTTCCTGAAGAAAAGAAACTTATTTTTCAAAGCCAGTCAAGGCTCTACTTAAAAGCCAAAATAAATGAGTAAAAAAAAGACCTTTACACTGCCCAAAAATTTTCAAAAATTAAAGAAATTTTCAAAGTTTTTCTTATAAAAAATTAAAAAAATTAATTTAAATTTTAACGCTTATTTCTAAGCCCTTCGTAAATTTAAAGATCAACTGTCAAATTTCCATGTCAAATGTAAAAAAAATGTAAAGCGCAATGTCAAATGTAGAGTTTATGTAAATTTCAATGACAAGTGCAATGTAAAATGTAAGCAAAAAAAAATGTTCACCCACGCGTACTAATAATTCCCAACTTATTCTAACCTCACAGTCATGAGGTAACCTCTGTTGGCCATCCAAAAATCAGTCAACTCGTTTTCAAGTGCATGTGTGTGTGTGTCTGTGTGTGTGTTAGTAAAGTGCCTCTAAGTGATCTCATGCTACCCCCTATCATATTGGTGGTATCTGAACATGGCCTCCAGGAGGATGCAGTGCATCATGGACTTTTCATGACATCGGATGCTGGATACATATGGAGGTGCTTACTATACCATGACTGGCCTTCATCAAGCCGGAAATCAAGGTAAGTTGCTTTATCTTTTCTATACATTTTTATTGCATAAACCAAGGGGCAGTTTTGCCAGCGGCTTGCACGCCGTCAATGCAAGGTAGACTAAGTCTATAAATAAGTTAAGTTAAGCTTTGAACGGGTGAGATCGTTCCGAGTTCTAGTTCATCTGCCCTGGAGATCAGGTACAACCCTCTGCTTCTCGTTTTTTCTCGTTTATGAACTCCTTACACTGGGAACTTAAGGACAACCTACATGGAAATATAATATTTTGCCTGGCTATGATCAGACCCAAATCTGGACCATCTACTACCCTTTCTTGGTTAATCTCTTTTTTTCGACTGCTGCCACTGGGAATATATTGATTGCAAAATTTTGCCTTACGAGGTATGCCCAAAATGAAGTATACGCCTTTTGGTAGCAGAGAGCCCGACTTTGTTGCAGTTGCTTAGCTCTAACTTTGCTCAGACAAGACTCACAGCTAAAGCAATGACTGTTTTATGAAGCTCACAACCAACACTTCAAGCTCTCATACCCACTTTTTACATTAGTGTTCCGCTTCTTTGCTACGAGTGCTGATTTAATGGCTGTAAAAGCAAAATGCAATATTTGTTGCGGTTTTTTAGCTCTAGCTCGGCCAAAACAAGACACAGAGCCAAAAGAAGGACTGTTTCGTGCCGCTAATGACCAATACTAACAACCCCTATCACCCGTTTTTCGATTTTGGGAAAGTCAATTTGGGCCCAAATTTCGCATTTTTTATACCATTTTTTGTACCATCATAAAAATTTTCAAAAAATGCCCAAAATTTAAGTTTTCCAGATTTGAATGCAAATCAATTGGAAATCATGGCAATCGAAGTACGAGTCCTAAGAGGTATTACATTCCTCATTTGGGCCACTTTTTGGCTGCGCTATGACAAAAAAACTGATATTTTTGCGCTAAAAATCAAGTATACGTCCCTTGGCACCAGAGATCCTGGTCTTGTTGCCGTTTCTTAGCTCTAACTTTGTCAAAACGAGACGCATGGCTAAAGCAATGACTGTTTTATGCAGCTAACAACCGAAACTTAAAGCCCCAATACTCGCTTTTCTCATTTTTGCTCTGCTTTTTTGGTGTGAGCTCTGATTTAATGGCTAAAAATCAAAAACCTATTTCTGACAGAAATTTGAAACATTATTTTCGGGTTTTTAGCTCTAGCTCGGCCAAAACAAGACGCACAACGAAAAGAACGACTGTTTTGCGCTGCTATTGATCAACACTAACTACCCCTATCACTAGATTTTTGATTTTAAGAAATTCCATTTTGGCCAAAATTTCGCATTTTCGATAAGGGGTACCATCATCAAATTTTTCGAAAAATTACTCAAATTTTACATTTTAAACTGTGAATGCAGTTTTGATAAACATGAGAAACCACGCTCAACGAGGTATAAAATTCCATATTTGGACCATTATTGGCCAAGTTATGAGCAAAACACTGAAGAGTGCGAAATTACCAAAAATCGCATTTTCGATAAGGGGTACCATCATCATCAAAATTTTTGAAAAAAGGCCCAAACCTGGCATTTCAAACTGTGAATGCAGTTTTGATAAGCACAAGAAAACAAGCTCAACGAGGTTTTACACTCCATATTTGGAACATTATTGGCCAAGTTATGAGCAAGTAACAGTTACTTTTTACTCTAATTTTGGGGGAAAAAAAAGATTTAATCAATTTCGTCATTTCTTATAAAAACTAACAAATTATATAGTTGAGAAAAATGTCACATTTTTTTAGGTTTAAATGCCAGAAATTGTAAATTTTGCCTTAAATTGTCTAAAATCCAAATTTCTCTTAACGAAAAATCAAAATTACGCCACAAAGGCTTGGCAGCAAAGGCATTTAGCCAGCCAAGTTAATAGAAAATGTCAAAGACAGACAAAGCTTCTATAAACTAAATTCAAAGGAAAACAAAAAAAGAAAGAAAATATCCAAAACTAAAATTCTCGACTTGGGAAAAGGCAGACTTGGACTTATCAGGAAGGGATAACAGCCAGGGATTGCTTTGATAACAGAAATGGCATATTTTCTTAGTGGCAATCTTGGCTGCACCTGTTGATTAACTGCAGGTTGCTTTTGGCCTTGGGGGCAACAGGTGAGAGTATAGTTGGGCCAAAAGGGGGAAGGAAGGAAAGAAGGCAACTCTAAGGCCATCGATATGCCCGAGGGATGTGACACACAGAAGGAAAGTTTTTCAATTTGAATTCAATTTAAAGTTCTTGGATCTGCTGCTTCCCGACCACTGCTACCCCACTGCATTCCTATACCCTCGCTTTTCCCTGATTTTCCCTCCTTTGCTTTTCAGCCCCTTCAGCCGACTTATGTACTTCCGCAAATGCTGAGCTTTCATATTTATTTGACTCCGTTGAAATGCAAATAAATGCAAACATTTACTCAAGAAAACGCCAACGCAATGCCCCGCCCCCCGTCCCATCCAGCCACGCCCCCACACATAATGATAATTATGCAAATGTAATGGCATAATGTCGGCATGATTCCTTTTACTGAGTGTCTCCTGTCAACCCCCCCGCCTTTGCGTTGATTTAATGTAAACAAAAAGAAGATGGACGCCTTGAGGTTTCCTGATACCTGTGCGTGTGTGTGTGCTGGGGGGAAAACCCCGGTGGAAAGCGGAAACGGAAGGTGGGCGCGGGACTTTTACGGCGAGAAAGCCGGAAAAGAGCATCGCGAATCGTAAGCGTGTGTGTCATCAAAGGAGGTTTCACTTTACCTTAACTTAACTTAACTCCTCTGCAAGCCGAAAAACGTGAACTTTAAATGTGATTTTAATTCGGGAAAAAAAGAAGTGCCAGAAACTAAGTTAAGCTAACAGAAAGGAAAAGTATTTTTGATCAACTTTTTCCCTATAATTTTCATCATTTTCACTTTACAGGTTGTGGAAAAAGGAATTTCCCGAAATTGCCAAAACTAACAAACTGAAAATGAGCTGCTGCTGATGATGATGATAAAACCAGATCGGGGGCGACACTTATGTAAAGCGGTTTGGAAAAACTCTCTCTCTCTCTCTTCGAAATGTAGAAACCTTTTAAGCAAAGAAAACTGGGTTATCCACTAAAGTGCAGCCATCTGAATCGCCAGTCTGCGTATGCGAGAGTGTGTGTGTATGCGAGTGTGTGTATGCCGGTGTGTGTGTGTGAAAAAAGAAAGTAAAGTGCAGAAAAGTGTTTGTGCATCTCCGGCTTGTGCACCCTCTCTGTCACGTCGTTTTTAGATGTATTTTAAAAGATTTAGCTGCACATCCCCCAGGGGGTTCCGAATAGTGGACACACTCAGGGGTTGGCTCCATGGCTCTCCCTGGCTCTTCCTGGCTCTTCCTAGCTCTTCCTGGTCCTGGGGACACTGAAGCACTGAAGGCAGTCAACCGACCGAGTGACAAACCCCAGGAGGGGGGATAGGGAATGGTGTGGTCCTGCAACCGCAGATAAACTGCAGGCAAACGGAAAGCTGGAGGAAGGGTGAGCTGGAGGAAGAGCTGATGGAGGAGCTGCAGGAGAAGCTGCAGGAGGAGCTGGAGGAAGAGCTGCAGGAAGAGCTGCAGAAAGAGCTGCAGGAGGAGCTGCCGGACGATCTAGATGAGGAGCAGAAGGAGGTCCTGCAAGAACGGGCACAAGCTGGAGAGGTGTGAAAGTGAAGCAAATGTGAAACAATTCCGCTAATTGCAAAAAATGTGATGCCAACATGGCGTAGAGAAGAAGGAGGAGGGGTGGAGTGTAAGAAGGGTGGCTGCCTGTTGTTGTTTAGTGGAGAAGCTGGCAGTGGGTGACCGCATGCAGGAGGAGCTTGCTTGGTCATTAAAAGGCGTTGCATTGCACACAAAAGTATGCAGCACTCGGAAAACCACCAACAGCCAGTTTACCACCTCTCAACCCCTCAACCCACCCCTCCCTCTCCCCCTATCCTGACCAAGCAGAACTGCTGGCTAAAAACTTAAACTCAATTTCCCAACAGCTAGTCTCGAGAGTTGAGTTTTCTTGCCCGCTGATTTCAGCATGCGATTTTCCTTTTTTTTTGTGCTTTAATAAATTTAATTAGGTGAGCGCTTCGTCGGGGTTTGTTTAGCCAAAGGGGGGAGGGAGGTCAATCCCCCTCCTTTTACTAACACTACTCTTTGGCAGCCTTCGAGTGTTGCATTTTACGCACGATTTTAATTAAATGCCGCCGCGTATGCTTCGCTTTTATTACTTGGCTGTGTGCACACACCACTGGCTAGCTAGCCAGAGAGATAGATAGATAGAAAGATAGTTAGACTGCAAGGGGGTTGGGAGGGGGTGGTTTAGGGTCACTGGTAAGGGTTCTATGGAATTGATGCTTTGTTTATTGGTTCCTGCTCCTGACCAAAGACCAACGACTGGGCGTGGCAAGTGGCAAATCTAAATGAAAGGGGCCAACCGAATTGTCGCTGACAGTTTGATTGAGTTTGCGTTGTATCAGCGCTTTTCTTGTTTTTCACGCTTTTCCGGCAATGGGCGAAGAAATCAATTAAAGAAGCAGCAGTAAGTAACAGCAGTGTCTAGCATTTTAACTTTCTAACACAATATTTTTTAAGATTTTTTATAGTTTTTTTATAGATTTTTTTATAGATTTTTAAAAGATTTTTTATAGATTTTTAAAAGATTTTTTTACGGTTTTTGTTAGATTTTTATAAATTTTTAATGGATTTTTTACAGATTTTTTATAGATTTTTTAAAGATTTTTTAAAGATTTTTAAAAGATTTTTTAAAGATTTTTTAAAGATTTTTTAAAGATTTTTTAAAGATTTTTTATAGATTTTTTAAAAATTTTTGATAGATTTTTTTTTTAATTTTTTATAGATTTTTTAAAGATTTTTGATATATTTTTGATAGATTTTTTATAGATTTTTTGATAGATTTTTTATAGATTTTTTATAGATTTTTTATAGATTTTTTAAAGATTTTTTATAGCTTTTTTTATAGATTTTTTAAAGATGTTTTATAGATTTTTTAAAGATTTTTAACAATTTAAGAAAGTTTTTAGGGATAAATAGAAAAAAAAGAGCTTAAAAAATGAGGGAAAAAAAAGTCTCCACCAAACTTAAAACTTCCTAACTTAAATTTAAATCTCTTAATGATTTCATTTTCTAAATAAAACTAAAAAAAAAACACTCGAAGTTAATTTAAAACCTTAAAAAACCCCAGAAAATTCCACAAAAATTTAAAAAGAAAATCAAATTTTATAGCCCCAAAAAATATGCTAACTAAATTTTCTTTCAGAAACTTCCCCCCACATAAGAGCCAAATTCATGTACCGTCTAAACCGATGGCCAATTCCAGTGGCTATTTTCCCGCTGTGCCTGCCCGTTTACTTGTTTTCCTCTACTTTTTCTGCCCAACCAAATCTGCGCTAAAAGCGATGGAAATGCGGTGGAAAACTCTCACTTCCGGCTGCGACGAGATCAGGAGCCGCAGGACACGCTTCTAGACGAGCAAAAAAAAAAAGTAAGAGGAGAAAAGAGGACCAACTGCTGGTTTATTAAGCAGGAGTCGGGTGACAATTCCAGATACTTTATGCAGGCAGCGCAGCAGAAAGCCAAAACCGGGAGAAGGAAGGGAGATGCCAGGCAAATGAAGTTAGTGCCAGTTGCGAGGACTAGAAAGCGCGGCGTGTGGGGAAGGGAGCAGCCACTGTGCACTGGCCTGTGCGCCGACTAACAAGGATAATTGCAAAAGGAAGTAACAATAAACCCAATGATATCGATGCCCAGTTACACACACATAGGGAGTGGGAAAAAAATGGCAAAAAAGGGGGTCGGCTTGCTGGGGAAAACAAAGGAAAAGCAAGGACGAGAACGTGGGACCAAGAGGAAGCCGTGTCCTGTGGAACGATTGCGCCAGCGAGCAATCAGCGTAAAGTGCGCGCCGCTTTGTAACTGAAACGATAAAAGGGAAAAAAGAAGGTGGCAGCAGGAAAAGCGAACAAAACCGAACAGAAAGATGGGTTACGGCAACAACAACAACAACAAGAACGAAAAAAAATAAAGCGGAAAAAAGGGAACGACGACGACAAGGGGAGCAGGAAAAACCGGAAGAGGAGCCACAGCTGAGGCTGCAAAGAGCAGAAGGAGCAGCAGAAGCGGAACGGGGAAGGGGAACTGCTGGCAAACAGCAGAGAGAGAGAAAAAAATAATAAAATATCGTTTATTGAGGGCACTCCAACGAACGCGAATGTGATTGTTGTCCACCCAACCAACCTAACCACCCACCACCCACCCATCACTCCCAGAATTTCCCATTCACTCATTGCCAACCCCCAGCTCATTTCTGGTCCTGTGCCCTGCATTTTCCAGTCATCGCTGAGATCAAAGCCCAAGACGACGACGACGACGAACTTCACTGGGCCGAAAGCGTAGCGCGGAGAAAGGAGAAAAGAGAAAGCAGAAAAAGGCATTCCATCGAGCGTAACGCCACGACGAGGGATTGAGAACTGCAACTTTGATTGAATTTTATGAGAATTCCAGCACAAGATCATAAATATTCGCTTTTATGCGGCCATTTTCCGCTTTCATTGTCCATTTCCTCAATAATAACAGGCGAACATTTTCCATTAAATTGATAATTAATAAACGCTTATGTGAGTCGTTACACCCCCCCAATCCTCAATCCCCAATCACTCTGCTTAAACTCTAATTAATCTTTTAGCTTTGATTTTGAATTTGATTTTTAGACTGAAAAAGTTAATATTCTTCTTAATATGGGAAAGGAGATCTTTCTAAGCTAATAACTAATAAAATTTAAACTTGGAAATTAATCTTAAATGATGTTATTTAATATACTTCCTATCTGTATAACTTTTTAAAGCTCAGGTTCCCATTCCCTTTCCCCCTTCCAAATTAAACCCAAATCTAAGCTAATTTCCGCAAAATGACCGCAAATTTCTGGGCCAAACCGATACAAATACAAAAATATATTACGAAAATATTGATGAAAATCAACTATGCACACTGGAACTATGACCGAGTGCAGGCATAGGTTATGCCAACAGTGCGTATGCGTAATTTTAATTCAAATCGCTCATACGCAGCGTGGGACAAATCAACAGGATGCCAAAACTAGGCGAGTAACCTAAACACAGCCTGCTGGCAAGGCGAGGCGGGGTGTTATGGTGCTGGATTACAGTCACTGCTGTTGAGTTGTTTGTTGTAAGCTTCCCTCTTCCCCCTCTTCCCCCTCTTCCCCTCTCTCCCCCATCCCTAACATCACATCTAGCATCCACCCACAGCCCTACATCCCTCACCCCACCATCCATATGAACACTTAGACACGGACATCCCGTATCGCTGCTGTGTCCTTGTGCCAGCGCTTTCATGCACATTTATCGTGATTAGCTATTAATTGATAATAATTAACTTAAGCACAAGCCACAGATGCCAGGAGGAGACCCCCTACAGATGGGTGTTTCCCTCGCCTGGCTGCGAATGTGTATTTGCCTTTTGTTTTTCTTTTCTTTTCTTTTATTTGGGGTTTTTTTTTTTATGATATGAAATCTGAATCTGTGACGTTTCTCCTGTTGATTTGCTATCCCACAAAAGCTGACTTTATGGGAATCCCTGAAGTAGCGTAGCTAAGGGCGCCACCCCTTTAAGTTCGCCTTCATCAAAGCTAAACTAATTCGAAATTCCATTTTCCCCCCCCCATCCCATCCCATTAGCATTTCAATTTTTTTTTTGGCTTTACATTTACAACTGGAATTCGATTCGCGATTGGCCGCAAAAGTATGCCAAGTATCCAAGAGCGCCGGGAAAACTCATTGTAATTTAAGCTGGAAAACAAAATTTCAACTTACATTGCGCCCTCTAGCTTTGGTATTTGGTACTTAAATTCAGTCGAAGTTCAGGTTCAGTTTTCGCCTTTTGCAGTTTTCCAAAACACTTTTCTGCTGTATTTTTCTTTTGGCTTTTTTTTTTACACTTAACTATATATTTATTTTTTTTCTTTTGGTTTTTCTTTTAAATTTTCTTTTTTTGGTTTTTTCTTGTTAGAACATTAAAAAAAATTACAAAAAAAAACAAATTTGGAACACAAAGAAAACTGTTAACGCCGACGGATACTTTTTGGAACTTGTAACTAGAAAATATATAACTTTGATGATCAGATCAGATTGAAGGATATATGCATATATCGTGTGGCAACCGTAGTTGAGCAGCTTGTTGATTGAGTTGGTTAAAGTTCATGAGGGATGGCTAACTAAGGACGAAGCGCGAACACAAAGTCTTGGCCTGAAAATGTTTCCAATCTCTGATTTTCACTTTTGATTTTACTTTCTTTTTTTTTAGTTATATTTTCATGTTTATTTTTCCTGTTTTGTTCAGTTTTTTTTCCTTTGCTTTCTCACAAATCAAATCCTATTCACTTTCACTTTCACGATGTTTCGATTTCGATTTCTGTTTCTGTTCCTGCGGTCAGAGTCAGAGTCTGGGCTGATGATACGATGCGACTGAAGTACTGATTGGAGTGGAACTGAGTTGAGTTGATGGCTTTAGCTGCTGCGAGATCCGTGCGGCACGTGCGAACACGTTCAGATTTCATAACCAACTGTCGAGTCAGCGTCGACGAAGGACCCCTGACCAAATCCGATTCGTTTCGCACGAAGCCGACACGCTGGCCGCCGATGTTAGGACTCGAAAGCGCCGAAAGCCGAAAGCCCGAAAACCCGAAAGCCCGAAAGACGAAAGGACGAGGACGAGAACGAGTCGTGCCTTCGAGATCCAAGGGGCGTTCAAAAGGGCTTTCGAAGTTGGCTCTTCGGAGACACCGTTAATGGGGGGCGGGCGGTCCTGTCAGACTTTTGGGCGCCCGCTTTTTGGGTGCTTCGGTTGGGGCTCCAACAGCATCCGTAGAAAAATGGACTCTCTTAAGCGCTCTCTTTATGCCTTAAAAGTGAGGAGCAGGAGCAGTGGCAGTAGCAAGTAGAAGTTGGAAGCTGAAGGAGGCCAACACACTTTTACAGCATAGCGTGCGCCCGGCCAAGTTAAATTCCACATGAAACGAGCGTTAAGGCGCCCTTGTTGCTCTCAAGTGTTGCACATTATGAAGCCGAAGCCAGGCATAAAACTTTCACCATTAGCCGCGTTAATGTGACGCGCGCGCCAAATTCGTCAGCTGGCCATTGGCTGCAAGGACACTTTTCATGGGTCATGAGCAGTAGGAGGTGGAGGGGGCTAAGGCTAAGACTGGGGACTGGGAACTGGAGCTTAGTGAAAGTTTTATCGGCACTTTTCGGCCACATCGGTATGTAAGTGGTTCGGTGGTGGTGATGGTCTTATCGCGGAGCCACCAATAAACATCAGTCGATGATGATGATGATGGCTATGACGATGACGATGACGATCTTGAGGATCTGTAAGTGGGTTTCCTTTCAATGGGATCAATATATATATGTATATAGTAGTGGCCACTTCAATGGAATCGCAACACATGCTTGCACCATGGCACTCTAGAAGCTTCCCCATCTCATCTCCACTTTCTCCTCTTACTCCTCCTCTTACTCCCCCTTTCTCCTCATCCCTGTCATCCTACTCCTGGCACTATGACATATTGTATCCACACGCGTACGTGCCCGGGTTACCAAAACTTAAAGAAAGTTCTGCGCCCCCTCCACCCCCCTCCCCCGTCCTTTCTTTTTTGTGCCCTTTCTCCCCTATAGAAGAGTTCCTTGGACTTGGACTTGGTAGTCGGGACTTGTTTACGTCTCCGTTCGTTTTCTGGAGTTGCCCACATAAATCCCATAAATGACAAAGTTATTAGTGGCTTGGCTAGGAGCCCAAAGCAGGAGCTAGGAGCAAGAGTATGAGAGAATAGCGCCATCTATGGACCGAAATTAGTGACAGTTGCACAAATTACACAAATCACAAATCCAAATTCGCGCCCTGGGGGCAGTTCAGGATGGGAATCAGCCACATGTATCAAATCAATAAATTAAGCCAGCCCCCGTCCCCCCTCCCGGCCAACCAACCTCACCACCCCCCCCTCCCCCATTACCAACTAAAACATGAAAATGCATGAGAAGGTGGTTGGATGGGGGAGGAATTTGTTAAGGGAAAGGATAGGCGGTAGGCAGTAGGGAAGATTTTTGGGATTAATTTGGCTTTGCCAGGCTCGCCAGCACCAGCACCAACACCAACACCATTGGCATTCCGCTGGGAATGCAAAGTTTCAATTGCCAAAACACGGCGACCTTGGGGCGTACATTTGACCCACAATGTACTGACCCCGGAACCAGGCCAAAGTGAGGAGGGGAGAGGGGGTGGATAAGGGGTGTATTTGTCCAGGGCATCCATCGGGTTGAATGGGTGTACTAAACTAACAAACACCAGAGCTATACAAACTGGCAAAACAAAAACAAAAAAAAGTCTGCGGGACAAGTTTGGCACATTTGTCACATGGACACTCTGCGGATACGTAATTTCGAATGCAACACAAGCAGCCCCTTGCATCCTTCTTTACTCTACCATAAATATACTATATACTATATACTATATACTATATATATTTTCCATATTCAATCTCATTGCCCCATAATTGGTTTGTCTGCACAGAAATCTTTAGGAAACATCAAAATGCTGACTTGGGCAAGGGTTTTCCTTTTCCTAACATATATCATGGAAAAAAAAACGGAAAGCAAGGAAGCTGACCCATATCCTAGGAATCTAAGGACATGTCGAAAGGTGTTCAAATTTCCATCCTTTGCTTTGTGGGCATGGTGTTTGTTCTAGGACTCTAGGAGGACTCGAGGACTTTTTTGCCTGTATCAGACAGGGAATGAATGGAAAAAAAACGAAAAAATGGTTGGGAAAAAAAAACGACAAACTGCTGGGGGGAAAACCAGTAAGGGGCAACGAAAAACTTTTTCACCAACTACAATAATTTAGTATAGTTCACCAAAAAGTTCCACCTGTCCGCATTCCACCACCCAAAGCTAGCTGCTGCTTCCGCATCCCAACCTTCTCAACCTTCTCAACCTTCTACATTCGCATCTGTGCCGGACGGCCATCCATGTGTGCGTCTAAAGTTTATTGGTAAAATTTTATTGCAGATTTTTGCGCTACCTGGCCTGTTGCCCCAAAAACCTACCTCTTACCACCCTCAACCCCACCCCCTACAACCACACACACACCTCTAGCCAGCCATCGGCTTGCCGTCGTCTTGTGAAAATATTTGGGAAAACTTTTGCAATTTATCTGTTTTATAGCCAGCGACCAGCACTCACATGGAAAAAAAGAAGAAAACCCAAAAAAAAAAAAAAAAAAAAAAAGAGAGAAAGGAAAGGAAAAGCTAGCAAGGGGATGGTGCGGGCATGAAAGAAAAGTCTGTTCAGGTATCTGCTACGCTGCTGCTGTCGCTTGCAGGCTTAGTGTAGGGGTTTTGTAAGGGGAGGGGGCACTCCTTTGGACTGCTTTGTGACCTCCACCCCTACACTCACACCCCCCTCCTCACCCTCACTTCACTGGAAAAAGTAAAAAAATATAAATGCCAAAAACCAAAAAACCAAAAAAAAAACGGCAATTGCAAATGAATCGAGTTAAAGTAATTTAACAGTAGATTGTCCCCATCCACTTGGGATGAACCCTCCTCCACCACCCAGACGCCACCCAACTTGGTCTTCGAGTCCAACAGATGGCCGACTGCTGATAAGTGACCAGCAATGGAGGAGCAGTGGAGGTTGTCAGCTATGAACCTGAAGCGGCAAACGGGGGTTAGCTCGTAATATATCATTTTCGAGTGGGTCAGCACTTGGGAGCCGGCTACTAATTGGTTTCCCCCGAACACTAGTGGAGTGCTGCAAGAGGAGCTTCCAGAGGGCAACTTAGCTCAACAGGATAGCCGCCTTGCATAGAAACTGTTTTTTAGGGAATCTTTTATTAAGGAGTTGAGTTGTCAGAGAAAGAAAGGTTAAAAGATGATTATTTTTTGAGTATAAGAAAGATAAGACTGAACCTTACTGAACTTGACTTAGTTTGATGGCTGATTCTTAGTTGGTTTTTATTAGAAGAAAATTTCTCTTAGTTTCTGTTAGTTTTAAGGGTAAGAGAGACCTCCTAAACTGATCAGAACTTCTTTTTTTGTTTTTAGAACTTAAAAATTTTAAACCTTAACTAAAGCATAGAAAAATCTATCAAAAAGTGAAAATATAAATTAATCGGCTTAGTTTTATATTAGGTTGTCAAAAAAGTCTTGCGGTATCTTAGCTAGTTGGTAGTAGTTCTTGTTTTATTCGTCGCATCATCAGGTCATACAATACCTTTTTGGAAAGCTCATTTCAGGCGCTAACCACGGGTTTGATTGATTGTTTTCTTTCTTTTAAGTCATTCGTGAGTTTTAGCCTCGCAATCATGAAGCAAAATAAAGAGAAAATGGGGCATATTTTACAGTAGTACTTCTACGATAAAGGCAAAAATGCATCTCAAGCCGCCAATAAAGTTTGTGCAGTTTATGTACCCAAAACAGTTTCCATTTCCACCGCACAACGATGGCATCAACGTCTTCGTTCTGGTGTAGAGGTGGTCCAAGATGCGCCACTCTTCGCCTTGTTTTTTGCCAATAGGGAAGCGAGCTTCTATGAGAGGGGCATTATCATCAACATTAATGTAACCAATTTTATACCGCAAGACTTTTTTGACAACCTAAAACTAAACAAAACTTAGAACAAAGACTAAAAAAGAAGAACCCAAAGTTAACTCTTTCTGTAACTTTGGGTTCTTCTTTTTTAGAAATAAACACCACTTTGAGCAAGTTTAAGCCCACTTTTAAGCCATAAATAGTTAACATATTCACATAGCCAAAGGCCAGCTTTATAACACACATAAATTAGTTTAGTTTTCTTTTCTCTTAAAATAAAAATTAAAAATAATATTTTAACATCTTTCTAATCATTAGAAAACCCCCACAAATACCTCTTGCCAAGAGTATCCTTTTAAGCAGCTTCTCCTCTAGCAATAAAAATCATTTTAATTAATTGAATTAAAAGAGAAGAAGAAATCTTTATGTTTTTTTTCCCTTCTCTCCCTTCACCTAGTCGACTGTGGAATATCGCAATTCATTCAGTGTGAACCGCAGAGAATAGGCAAATTATTATTCAAACGTGATGAAAGGCCAGAGTGGAGCTGCGATGCTGGGCTGCTCTGCTTTGGCGAAGCAACAAACCAAAGTCGGAATAGTCAACCGCAGAGCGTTGGATGAACACGCCTGACGAAAAAAAAACAAAAATATAAGGAAAAAAAAAAGAAAATACTAACAGAAGAAGCAGAAGAAAAAAAACTGTCAACGCGAGCTGCGAGCTGCGAGCAGGAAAAAGAACGAAATACCAAAATAAACCCCGAAGAGCAGCAGCAGGCAAAGCTTCTCCAGTTCTGCCGCTATCTGAATATGAGTGTGTTTGTGTGTGTGTGTGGTATGTGTGTGTGTGTGTAGTGTAGTGTGTGTATGTAAGTGTGCCTGGCACGGTGGGTAATAATCTTATCTTTAACTCGGCAGAAACAGAAGCCGTTGTCGTCGGCGCCTTTGTTGTTGCTGTCTTCGTGGCCAGCGACTGTGAAAAGCAGCGACTG